TCCTAACTGTCTCAACATTGCAAAGAACCAAAATGTTTCTCTCATTCTATGTTTTGTATTGCTAAGTGATTTTAAAAAGTATGGCTGCTATACCATATTTTAGATCTGTACTGACAAACTCACTAATAATAAGCCTACAAGATTATGAAATGAATCATAGCATATTCATCCAGTATTTTCACTCATTGTGGTTTTTTTCCCCCACTTAAATTGCCACTCCAAGACTTCATTTTGTGAAACTCTTTGATTTGAACCAACATTAATTGTGATGAATTCAGAATTATTCTGATTGGAGTGGGCATGGATTTGGGGCTAGTGTCAGGGTTACATCTTTATTCACAAGTAAGTATGGAACCACTGGCTTAGGGAGATGCACTGATTTACATTCTCATCTAACTAGCCTTTGCCCATGAAATCCTTTTTTCCACTTATCGACATGGAAAAAAGCTCTAATAATGAAGGCTTTATCTTAAATATAAACAATTAGATTGGAAACTGTCAAAGAAAAAAATATTTTATATAAATGAACTTCTTGATTGTAAATATAACTCTCCATTGCTTTAAGAATGGAAAAAAATACTGGAACTGGGAGAAGGAAATAGGAAATCAGTTCAGAGATTCTAAGGCCAAAAGGGTCCATTTGATGATTAGCAAGTCTCTCATGTTTAGGAAATCCACCCAAATACTTCTGAAAAGATGCTCTGCGTTGGCCTGAACTCCACTCCATTGAAATCAATTATAAAAATCCCATTTACTTCAGTGGGAAAGTTAGGCTAACACTGAGGACTGCTGTTCCAGTTCTTGGCTTTTTCTATACAGGAACTTTCTATTATGCTGAATCATTGTTGGCTTTGTGAGGTGGACAGCCATCCATTGAACATTTGGTTGAGATTAAGAAATTTATTTGCAACCTAAACATTATTTCAATTTAAATTGAAGAAGAAGAAAAAGACTAGTGTGCGCATTATTAGTCTTGTGTATAAACTGTCTCAGATAAAGGGCACAAACATTAAAATAAAATCACAAGGTTTTAGAGGAAAAACCTTTAACACATACCTAATTTATTTTTATTTTGCTGCTTTGATTTGCTGCTTCAACTTGCCTCCTTAGCTCTGCAAGCTCTGTACTTTATTAGTGCCTGCAGTAACACCATTTTAAAATGGGGGATACAAGTAAAATTTGTTTTCCTGAAGTCCTTGTTTACAGGTTTCTCCCCCACCCACCCCCCAAGATTAGTGAAACCAGGACTAGAGACTAACCTTCCCTTCTCTTCCCCCATCCCAATTAATTTTTTTATTGAATAATAATTTCCCAGTAAAATTAATCTGTTCACATTGAATACGCCCTCTTCACATAGTTCTTATGTAAGTCTTTTCTAAATATGAAAAATCTAACCCATTTCAATACTAGAAAGCTGAATTCACCTAAAGCTTTCTGTCTTTGAAGCAGGATTGTCTTTGCGCTACATGGAAGTAGATGAATAACATTCTGTCACTTTGCATTCCCATTCCCAGCCAATTTTGCTATACTTTAAGAATGGTTTTCAGAAATGAGATCTTAAGCCCCAAGGGCTTCTACTGTATCCGACATCCTTTAGTGAACTTCTTACTCAAGGCATATTGCTTCCAAAGCCCCCTATGTTCTTCCCTCCAGACAAATTGCATTATGTGTTACCAATAACAATGCCATGTCATTTTATAGGAAACCAAATTAAGCAATACAAGTGCAGGTTATTGGACGCTAGCTAATTCAGTAAAAATAGTATTTTGGTTAACACTGAAAGAATGCATTCACTTAATAGCTAAAAGTAAGGAAGTTTCTTTTTATAACTTAGATTTTCATAAATGGATTTCTATATGTCAGTAGTAGCCCTCTAGGTAATTTAAAGTAGAGCTTTTCTTGGTTTTATTTGGTTTCTTAATCCAGAAGAAAGGGTAGCTGGTGGTGTCTTCCGCATGCAATGAAATTTCTGAAGGACAATGTTACATTATTTTCGTTCCTAACATGATTATTACAAGTGTAAGTAGATAAAATTCAGTTTTGTCTGGAGGAGTTGGATGGCTGAGGGTATTGGGATTTGGATTTGCAGCTTTTCACTTCTTGGTTCCTAGTGCCAGTCCAGTCCAGATCAGTAACAAAACAAAAACCAACCCTCTTTAATATCTGCTAGTCCAGGCAGCCAGTATGTAATGAGTTAGTAGTTTCAGCTGCAATTCCCAGAGGACAGGTTTTTTTTTTAACATTACAAAATCCCTGTAAATAGGACTAATTGGTGTTTTTGTTAGCAATCTCATCAGACATCCCAAGCCTGGAATAGATATAACAAGCAAATGAATTTTTCACCCCAGACGTGATCTCTACAATTCAGAGTTCAAAAGTATTAGTGGTATAACATAGAGAAGCTTGCATTCCTGCTGCCCATGCTGTAGCTCTTCTGTAGATAGATTCTAGTTTCCACGATTGTCAGTCTGGTACCTTTCATGAGCACTAGGTTCATGAAAGAATTTTGAAATGAACGAGCAAAGTAATAACAATATCAGTGTAAACTTCTCCCATCAATATTTGTCAATCCTGAGCTTGGAGAAAAGAAGGTAGACTCCATAATTTATGCTGCTTTTAAATTCTGCGTTTTAAGTGCAAGGGACAAGTGTGTGCTAATATTGGTCCCAGTCCTGCTGTTGGATCTGTATGGGTAGACCATTGTGTTTGTGTGGAATCAGATTGACTCCAATGGGATTCTGCACAAGCCCCTGTGTCCACCCATGTGGCTCCAGGTGCAGAATGATATATTGGAAACTTCTGGTTTTTCAGTTCTCAAAAAAAAAAAAAAAAAAAAAATTCCCCAAATTTATGGTCTCTTAAAACATTTCGGTGAGTTCATTCATCTCTAATTTAAAATATTGCGTTTGTGTTGGGTTTGCCATTTTCTGAATTTGTAGATGTACATGAGCTCAGATCTGTCTCTTTATGCAATGGTGTATTTAGTCTTGTAGGGATGAGGTGGTTGTCCAAGAAATGCTTTACCAGCTTTTCTGTGGAACAAACATTGGCCTTGGTGCCAGTTTTTAGTTAGCAGTAAGGAAACACGGAGATGGCAGATTCTGGTTGCCAGAAGCAAATAAGGAGAAGTTTATTTCAGTCACTTTGCATTCCCATTCCCAACCAATTTTGCTATACTTTAAGAGTGGTTTTCAGAAATGAGATCTTAAGCCCCAAGGCCTTCTACTGTGGGGAAGGATAGCTCAGTGGTTTGAGCATTGGCCTCCTTAAACCCAGGGTTGTGAGTTCAATCCTTGAGGGGACCACTTAGGGATCTGGGGCAAAATCAGTACTTGGTCTTGCTAGTGAAGGCAGAGGGCTGGACTTGATGACCTTTCAGGGTCCCTTCCAGTTCTATGAGATAGGTATATCTCCATATGTTATTTTTTATATATTAGTCCTTTCTTTCATTTTGTGGTCCACGGTAGCACAAGGGGGCATTTGAGGAGTGGGAGGCAGTGGGACATGTGGTTCTAATTAACCCAGGTTAGGGAATGAGTGAGTCATGCATAGATGAGTAGCTAGTTTGGCAGTTGAGGATAACTTACTTTTTATTTATTATCATATAAGTGATTTGTTATCCACAACTGTCCTCTTACAAGCTGCTGTTATAAACTTACCAATGCTAGAGCAATTGGGGTAGTTTATTCATATTGTATTGCATTTTGAAGGAACTAACCATGGCTAGGTTGAGGAGTAGTTGTAGATGATCTGTATATTACAAACCAAATAGAATGAAAAAGAACTAGTGAAACATATGCCCTTTGTCACATTGACCAGTTTGTTTGTATTTTGTATGCCTTTTCCTCACTTGTCATCTGCCTTTTGTCGTTTTAGGACCCAATCCTGCAAACAAACATGTAACTTTTCTCACCTGAATAGTCCTACTGAAATCTGTGGGGAATATTTCTCTGAGAAAAATTAGAGATGTTTCTAGGGGCAGGGACTGTCTTCCTGTATGTCTTTACAACTCCTGATATATTTTGGGTGCTTTTGCAATATAAATAATAATGTAATGGAGGATAAGTGGAGGAAAAACAGGAAAATATATTTATAGGTTTTTTAACAGATTTCTCTGAACTTCTAGTGCTAAGGGCACCTATTTCTAAGGAAACTGATAACATATTAAAAGGTTTAGTGTCTTGGAGGACTGAAGATTACAAGGAGATCTGAAGCTTTAGTTGGGTACCATTATCTCATTAAGGATCTTTTTCCCTTTAAAATAAGGATGGTAGTATTCTTGCATTTAATTAATCAACCAAAATAATTTTTTGTTTGAGCCACTTAATACTAGTGGGATTAAATTAACCCCACTCTGGAGGGCCAGTGCAAGGCTATCTGCACCACTTAAACCCTGTAGAGGTTCCCCAAGGCTGTCCACTGGCTGAGCAACCATGCAAGTATGCCTCATGTCCCCAAGGTGCTACTGAAAAGGTCTCTGCACTCAGCCTGCATAGACCAGCATGTAAATACAACACTGAGGGCAGGCCAGGGGAAGGCTGTATATCCACACCCCATACAAATGCTGTGGAAGGTCTGTGGTTTCGAGCTTGTAGACTGGAATAGTGGCTGTGGAGGGGCCTTGGAACCTGACACTTAGTTGTTGGATGGATTTTTTTCTCCTCAGTCTCTCTACTTCATCTGCTTAAGGCTAATGTATTTGGGCTTTATGCAGGCAAAGTGGATTTTAACTAGAGTGTGTAAGTAGTACTAATTGATAAGGAGAGAAAATTATGTAACTAACCTCTGATTTACAGCCCTCTTTGAACAGAGAAATCACATTTGTTTTCCATGTTACTTTTCAACTTAAATGACTGTGACACTTTTATCTTATTAAACATCTAGAGAAGCCTCTATTACTTTCAAAATCCAATCAGATCACTGTTATTAAACAGCTTAATTATTACTCTGTGTGCCATTGAAACTAATTCAATCACTTTTATATCTTTCTTTTTATTCAGATTGTTTGAAGGGCGGTCACCAAGGAAGCCTGAGAAGCTTAAAACCCTTTTCTGCTACTTTAGAAGAGTCACAGAAAAAAGTATATCCTCTTATTAGTTCATTTCTTTTGAATGCTGTGAAAAATGCAGCTTAGTCTGAGCTGCAAAGCAAACACATAAAGAATGTATAATAAATGGAAAAATCTATAGCAATACAATGTTATGGTGAAGGTTTTGAACAAAGAAGTCAAGAAATTGAAAATACTGGTTCCCACAGGAACTGTAGCTTTGCCCTGAGGTACAGAATATATAAAGTGTTGAATTATTATGTAAGATTCTAACTGCCATGCACATGCGCGCGCATGCTCTCTCTTTCTCACACACACGTACTTTAACACTTTGTGTATGTGAGAGGATGCAGTATAGTTGTAGCTGTGTCGGTTCCAGGATATTAGAAAGACAAAGTAGGTGAGGTAATAATTTTTATTCGATAAAATTCTGTTGGTAAGAAAGACAAGCTTTTGAGCCACTCAGAGCATTTCTTCAGCTAGGAGTACCTTTCCCACACCTGAAGAAGAGCTCTGTGTGGCTCAAAAGCTTGTCTCTCTCACCAACAGAAGTTGGTCCAATAAAAGATTTTTACCTCAGCCACTTTGTTTCTCTAATATGCGAGAGCATGGCAGTTAGTAGAATATTCAGTAATTAAAATATATATATTATCTTAATTATTCCATATGCTGCTAACTGCCATTCTCTTTCTTGTCCATAAAAAGAGAGAGAGAGAGAGCACTCACGCACATAGCAGCAGTTAGAAGCATATAAATACACACTCACTGTCAAATTAATGGTTTCCAGGGAACTATAACTTTGAATTTACTGGCTTAAGTGCGTCCAAAATCTCAGCTCTGATATTGCAATAATGCAGCTTTTTTCATTTTTCCCCCAAACACTTCTATCCCCTTCTTCCCCAAAAGCTCATAAGAGAGCTGACCCACGTTTAAAATAAACCCACTAAATGAGCGACCCAGCGAGATATTGGGCTCCCTCAACTCCCGTGGAACTTAATTGGATTTTAAGGCATTCAGACGCCTGGCAGGATGATGCTCAGAATGCATTTGTGTAGCTGGACACTCCAGTAAGATTATATAAGCTATCTGAGATTCAAGTTAATATACCAAGTGTGCTTAATCGAAGCTTCTTACATTGTCATGGGGTTGCACATTCACATAAACTTGTAAAAATACATATATATGGCTGAGCACTCATTGTAATAAACATGTACCTATGATGATCTAGTTGTATGCATAATCATTAAGGCCAAGATTTAATCATGGGTATTTTTAGTAAAAGTCATGGACAGGTCAAGGGCAAAAAACAAAAAATCACGGCCTGTGACCTGTCCATGACTTATACCGTAAATACCTGATTAAATCTAGCGGGGGAGGAAAGCCCTGGGCAGCCAGTGGCAGCTCTGGCCACTGCTGGGGGAGGGAGGAAAGTCCTGGGCAGCTAGCGGTAGCTCCGGCTGCCCCAGGATCACTGCTGGGAGCCCCTGAGCTGTGGGACTGCTGCTCAGGTGGTCCCCGGGGCCAGCCGCATCAGCCACTGCCCGGGGCCGCCACAGCAGCGTCTGGTGCGACTGCCTGCAGGGCCATCCGAGCAGCTAGCTGCAGAGCTGCTCCAGCAGCGGACGGTGTGGCTATCCCCAAGGCCACCCAAGCAACTGGGCCCAGGGCCAGTTGCTCGAGTAGCCCTGGGGACAGCCACACCAGCTGCTGCAGAAGTCACGGAGGTCTCAGGAAGTCATGGAATCCCTGACTTCTGCGACCTCCATGACAAACACGGAGCCTTAGTAATCATTCATATAATATATATCTTAATTATATCTGAAGTATCATATCTTGGTCTGGTGTTTTTTCTGATGGCATACTCCATATAAACATCATGTTTTCTACTCTTAAAACTTTATTTTAGAAAATCATTTGTTCTAACATGTAAAGAATACTAATTTTCCTTCATAACTAACTCATACCAAGTCAGAAGCATTTGTTTTTTTAAAAAGACATTTTTAAGGTATTCAGGTGCAAAATGGCATTTAAAAAACTACTCCCATACTTGGGCCTAAAAAAGGTTCCCATTTTATCTGACTCAGTCATTCTTTTGACTTATTCTTCCACCATGCAAACTAGTAGAACCACATCCTATCCTTAATATACCCACCAAAGTCTCATTGATGTCAATAGATGTTATTCATACAGGTCAAGAGTAGAATGTGACCCATGCATGTAACTTTCTGTATAGCTTATTGCATTTTTACACGTGAGTGAAAAGATGTTTACATGCAAACTGAATTACAGCAACCTCCTACTTCTAAGTTATACAGCTGCTCCGCCTCTTTTTATATACTTAAAATCAGTTGGGATTATGTTCTATGTAACTGGTGAATTGGAATTTTTTACAATATAATTCCAAATAATATTTAATGGGATTCTCAAATGTTCTTCCTTGAATTAGTAACTTGTATTTCACTTTCAAACAGACCCTGTTTCCTCTCCCCCCCCCCTTTTTTTTTCTCTCTGTATAATGATTTAAGACTAAAGTAATTTAGCTCTGGAAATGAGTGGAAATTAAATGTTTAATTCCCCAGCCCTTTTATTATAAATAGTAATTGAGTTCCTTGTAACAGAATACATTGGAGTATATGTAAACCAAAGCTTAGTACTCAAAGTGTATGCTTAATTTCTGAAACGTCACCTCCATAATATCACAGAACCCTTGTGGGGAAACACTTGATTAATACAAGACCTTCTCTCTAAAAAATTAAGCTAACCTTTTTTTGTAAAAGTCTTTATAGCCTCATAAAATTTCTAACAGTATTACAGGAATATTTAACACTTTCTGAGTAATATGTTATGCTTTGCACAAAAGTAAGAGTTCTGAGAGAATAGAAGTTTTAAAATATGTTTTTATTGAGATGACACCACCATTGTCTCTAATAGTTTCTAATGTCTCTTACTCTAAGAATGCTTTTCCATAGAAAAGAGGGAATTTCTTTCTGGACAAAGAACAGATTGAATAAAATAAGTTTCTTCCAAATATTCAAAAACTGATTTTTTTTGTTGCTGCAACTAAAACATATTTTTAGTGAAATAAAAGGAAGTCACAGAAATAGAGGTAATCTCTTATAATATGCATCTATTAGTGACACATCTTTTTTTCTGTTGAGGGCTGGAGCCCCCCAGGAATCTTCCTATTTCCTCTCTCATATGCTTCAAGACATAATGAACTTCCTTCCTCTGGAATCCATCAGTCCTTCATGTTAATTAGCTACGGTTCTTGGTTGAAAACATAGGGTGCTGCCCTACTACTACATGTAGTGCTTCATGACCTGCTCACTGAAGCCTGCTCAGGGTCTGAAGTCTGATTTTTTTCCTATGGCAACACATTCTGCTCTCACCTGAGCTACCAAGCCAGTCTGATGATGATTAAAGCTTAAGTGAAATAGCTGAGAAACAACATGTCAAACCCCCACTTTACTTCTGCTGGCTGATAAAAAGAGAAATAGATGTAAAAAGAAGCGGAGACAAGGAGGTGAAAGTTTGATCATCATATATATTTCCTTCAGTTTGAACACTGGCCCTGTCAGTGAGGAAATCAAACTTCAGTTTTCCTTTTAGGAGAAACAAACATTTATTTTAACTATCATTTTTATTTTAAATTGGTTTTAAATATTCCTGAGTAAGAACCACATGTGTTGTAGCCTTAGTTTCTGAATGATTTTAAGTGGTGAGCTTTTAAAACTTGAAATACATTATCAGCTGTATATGTTTTACTGTTTTTTGTTATTTTTTTTTAAATAGAACCGACTGGATTAGTGACGTTTACAAGACAAAGTCTTCCAGACCTTCCAGACTGGGAAAGGTAAGTTAAACACATCTCTCAGTGTGAGTAATTGTTTTACTTGGTTGTGATGACTTAAGGCCTTATGCAACTCCCAATAAAGTCATAGACTCCTAGTGACTTCATTGGGAGTTGGGTCAGGCTCTTAATCATTACAAGGGATGCTATTTTGTATGGATCTTTGTTATTTTTATTCATCAAGTCTAGAAAAAATATCAGCTGAACCGATGCAAAAGCAAAAAGGGAGTTGTTTCAGTCTTCTGTAGAAGTTGATAATTTTGTCAAAAGTGCTAAAATTTTGTAAAATAAATTTCTAACTTGAGCATATTTATGTGCTTCAGTGACTTCATTTCATTTTGTTTGTTCATGATTTAAATGAATATTTAAACAGTGATATTTCCATGAAAATTTGCAAGTATATATGTAGGGATGAGGTTAGCCTGGGTGTGATGGTTCATCTGAAGCAGCAATGACAGGAACTCGAATGCAATATGGCTGACAGCCAGCATGAAAAAATTGATTTGTTAGCTTTTTCATTGGCTAGTGCCATGTCATCAGCAAACAGTCCAAGTAAGATGGTGGCTGCTTGTCTGGGAATGTGAAGTTTTAGATTTAAGCGAAGTTTTTGGATGTTGGAGTTTTGGGGCTGGGAAGAGAGGCAAGAAATTGGGGAATTGGGTGTGTAACCCTAGAATCAAAATCTGTAGATTTAGGATTATAGATATAAATGCTAGTTAAGATTTAACATTATATATTACATTTGTATCCAAGACTCTAAATAGCACCGTGTAGACTTACTGGCTATTCCATGCTCTTTCTTTTTTTAGACTTACTTTAATAATTGGTGTTTATTAAAAAAGAAAAATCTTATAACTGTAGTAGTTATAATAGTTACTACCCCTAAAATGTGCTAAAATAACTAGTGTGTACATTCTCTTTTAATTTACTTGCTATACAATGCATATTAACTATAATCTAAAAAATGCACCCTTGTTAGACACATAGTAGAATGAAAGGTCTGATACTGTGTCTTGCAAATAGCATGTCACGGATTTCTTGTTAGTTTTACCAGTTCTTAAATATACTATAGTTAGTATATGATAAATGGATCCCCAAGCCCTAAAGGGCATACAACAAAAGTTATTTTAGAAGGTAATCCCATTGAAAGTAGTTACTCAGGGTAGGAGCTGACATTGCATTCCCTTTGCACTCTCTGCTTGAGTAATTTTGTGCTGTCTCTTGCAAAGAGATTGATTTCTTGAGGTGATGGTGGCACAGTGAATTGTAAGGAAAAAGCACTCAGCTTGCTCTGGTTTCAGGATAAATATGCAATGATTACTGAGAAAGACTTTGAGGTATGACAAAGGAGAATTAAGCCACCATTTAAAAAAGATGAGTCAATTCAGAATGCAGAATCCTTGAATTGCAGAAGTAAACAGGTATATATGTGCTGGGCAGAAAAGATGCTGGCATTTTGGGGTCCAAAACATTTTTTTAAAAATCTATTAGTATAAGTCTCAGAGTACATCAATTCATGCATGTTTAATAATAACAGAGTACACATGCCTCTCCTAGTCTTCCAGGAAACTGCATATCCTTACAATTGTATATGTCAAGGGTCAGATCTTCAGCTGGTGTAAATCAGTTTACCTCCATTGACATTGACTGGTGCTTTGCCAATGTACTCAGATGAGGATCTGACCCCAAATTATTTTTCCTAATCTGTCTAAATGATTTTGTCATATTAACATAGTGCTTCTTTGCTCTATCTGTGTAACTACTATTTAGGGGTATAAAATATGTAATTGTATGCTATTAAAGATTTTAAAATTGGTGATTGAGGATATAGACATGTTTCACATTAACCTCAATGGGAGCTGAATGGCTAATTTTTTTTTTTTAACAGAAAGGTGAAACATCATTTTATTTCTTGTTTGCTAAAGTGAGGAATCTAAGCCATCACTGATATGAATGTACTTCAGTTTATGTACTAGCTTCTCATACAGAATATTCTGTTTCTTAATATCCTGCTCAAGTAGAGAGTAGATTTATGTCCCTTGTAAATCTATTAATGGATGATTGTAACTAATACAGCTTAATTTAAACCTCTCTTTTTTTTTTTTTTTTTTTTTAAATTCCACTATATTATGGTTAAATGTCAGTGACTTTCTTCAGTAAGTCAAAAGATTTAATACCGTTAATAAAAGTATATGGTAGATTAGAATATTCTGTCCACAACACTGGTGATCAATCCATAAAATTAAGTGATTATTTTAATTTTACAATTCTGGATGGAAATTAATGATCAAAAATGATCATTCTGATCAAAATAAGTCCAAATTTGTGAAAACCCAAAGAGTAGTTGTGAGCTGGAGAGTGTAGTTCAGCAGAAATAAAATGGCAGCGAGCAACAGGATTTTTCAACAGCAGCAAATCTTTATCAGCATAGATCAAAATAAGTTACCATAAGCATAAAACAACAACAAAAAGATCCCTCCAGGTGGGGTTCACTCAGGCTATGGCTATACTCCAGTTTAAATCGACATAAATTATGTTGCTCAGGGGTGTGAATTAGCCACACACACACCAAGTGACATAATTTATGCCGATTTAAGTGCTGGTGTGGACAGTACTATGTCTATGGGAGAAGCTTTCTTGCCAACAGAACTGTCGCCACTCATGGAGACTGGAGTAATTAAACTGATGGGAAAGCTCTCTCCTGTCGCCTTAGAGCGGCTACACATATTGTTTATTGCAGCCGCTGTAAGCTCTCTAGTGTAGCCATAGCCTCAGTACCTGTGTGTGGAGTCCTGCTTTCCAACAGACATTCCTCTCTTCTGTCTTTCCAGCATTCCTGCTTATGTAGCTGTTCACATGAGTTACTGTGTAACAGAAAGGAAAAGGGAAGCTGTAGTTAATCTTTTGTGTACTGGGGCACAGGTGGTGCCCCTGCACTCAGCGACATCTAGGAGTATCAGAATTCTAGGCCCAGATCTGCTATTCTCTTGTTCTGTGGCCTTGGGCGAGGAACCTAACTTCCGTTTCACCATCTATAAAATGGGAATAATAAAACCCAATTCACCAAGTGGTAGTGAGGATTGACTGATGTGATCATAGGGAGCGGATATCATTGGATGGAAAGTACTATGTAAATGCAGAGTATTCATTTTCTTCACCTCCCACTTCCCTAACTCATATCTGACTTTTGTCACGTTGTGCCAAATTCTGCTCTAAGTTGTATATCTGGAGTATCCCTTTGGAAAGCAAACAAAGCTTTTCATTGAAGTCAATGGAGTTACTTTGGATTTACACTAATGTAACTGAGAACATAATTTTGTTCATTTATTTTTTTGCAGATTTTTATAATGGAGACTTTTACATTTGGTGATGTAGTTAATTGATTCTCTGTAAGGTAACACTGTATCTATATATATTTTTAAAATTATAGATCTCATAAAAAACTGACCAGATTGTATGTCACATATGAGGGCACTATAGAAAGCAATGGACGTGGTATGCTACAGGTAAGTATCTAATAAAAATATGGCTTTATGCTGTGCTTTTGGCCCCGCTTTTGATGACTGGGTAGTTTAGCAAAGCTATTCATATACCTCCTTGGTTTTTGTTTTTTTGTTTAAGTAGTGATATTATACCGGATAAAAGAAACAACAAAACTGATCATTTTGAAAGCCTTAGTAGTGTCAATATTTCCCAGCTCACCTTGTTTTTCACATGTGTCCCTGTTTCCGAAACCATTTGACAGAAAATCACAAGACCTGGACAGCTTCAGGTCCTTCAGTTCAGACATGGATTGAAGATTGACAGGAAAGGAGTTTCCAGGGTATGATCTTGACAGGGTGTCAGTTTTCAGTTTATTTTTTAAAAGCTGTTGCTGTGCCCCATCTGGTGACCAGTTCAGTAGTTCAAGAGGCTCTTTCTGCTGCCAGCATAGTTGTTTTGGTCTGAGAGCCAGTCAGCTAAAACTGATTGATAAGGAGAATGTCTCCTCCATATCCATAAAGAAATATTTAGTTTTGTTTGAAGGGGTGACAAGTTTAGCTTTTAGAGTTTAGTATAAAACTTTGTGTTCTGTCCCTTTTATCAACTTACATTATCCTGTCATTTGAAGTTGCTTTTCGTTCTTGCAATCCCACTTGAAAAGGGGAAATACAGTCCTTGCCTAGGGGAGAAATAGATCCATAAAGTTTGTAACTGGAACTACAAGGTTGCTGGATAATATCTGGGAATGTGTTCAACGGGGGAGCTCCATGTGGTTTGGAGTCCTCCACAGAATTTTCCACGGGGAGTGACCCTTTAAGAAGGTCCTAGCATCTCCTGCTTACCAGCACTAGTGGCCAGATGGAGTCTGGAAAGTCTGTCCTGCTCCTGTGGAGCAGTGCTAGGGAGGTGATGCCTTTATCGCCTCAGAGGCTCCAGGGTTGTCTGCTGTTCCTTGCTGATTCATACCTGACACCTGCAGTGATGCATTCCTGCAGAGTTTAGGAAACCCTCTGGGCCCCAGTGGCCTCCCAGGAGGAAGGGGGCATTATTACATGTGTTGTCTGAGTGCATTATGAAAATTGTGCAAGAACATAAGAACAGTCATATTGGGTCAGACCAAAGGTCCATCTAGCTCAGTATCCTGTCTTCCGACAGTGGCCAATGCCAGGTGCCCCAGATGGAATGAACAGAACAGGTAATCATCAAGTGATCCATCCCCTGTTGCCCACTCCCAACTTGTGGCTAACAGAGGCTAGGGACACCATCCCTGCCCATCCTGGCTAATATCCAGTGTGTGTGTGTGTGTGTGTGTGTGTGTGTACACACTGTTTACTGTATATAAAATCTTGCGTGCATATACGTACATATATATACACTCACACATAAAAATACAATAAACAGGAATCAATAATGCAAAGTAGAAGGGGGGAGATGAAATATATAAATATAAAACGGTATGTGCCCAGGGTTACTCTTTCTACGGGACAGCATATATTAAGAGTGCACAGAAGATAATGGTTTGATAGGTTAACAAATGCACAACAGGATGGTTCTCAAACATTTATACTTCTACAAATTCCCTGTGTAACCATATGAACTTATTAGTGTTACCCTTATCTCTCCTCACCTCCCTCCTATTTTTTGTGTCTTGTCTTGAATTTAAACTGTTAGGCTCTTCAGAGTAGGGAGAGACCATGTTCTACCTTTTTGCTTGTACAGCAGCTAGGACAATGGGCCCCTGATCCTGACTTGGGGGTCTTTGGTTGCTACCACAGTATGCACATAATACTATTCTTCTTCAAATTATCAATAATAATAGTAAATTAACTAGTTATTCCAGGCAGCTCTAAGATATTTTAGTTGATAATCAGTAGGCATTAGTGCTGCTCCAATATTAGCCACAAGCAGACACACGATACTGGACCCAATGATGTGACCCAGCACGGCATATCCTATGTCTCAAGTGAGAGCATCACCACAAGTAGATTGCTGATATTTTAACATGAGGAAAATTCTTCTCCTTGAAGCCCTTCGTACCTTCATTAAATCCGAGCAGCCAGAATCTGCATGGAGATGATAAACTTAAAAACTACACAGAAATATTAATTTTTCTTCCTCTCCTTAGTCACCCATCCTGTAATCCCAGGAGGGAGGAGGAAATTATGCTGATACTTTTATAATGCCTTTTATGTATTGTATAAATTTACATTAAACTCAGCTAAAACAAATATACTCTGAGGGGTGGTGATATTCCCTTTTTCTAGCTATTTAGCTTTTTAAGTCTGAATAAACAGAGCAGGTAATCCCTCTGCTTGGATTAAGAACTCTGACAAAACATTTTGGAGAATTTTCATCTGAGTTTTATATACCACAGTCACTTTTAGCAACACCTCAACCACTAAATGTCTACCAACATTTTCATCATAAGTTTCAGTAGGGATTTGTTGTTATTTTGGCTAGTTGTTTCAGAGCCTTGCCTTTTAGAGGTTAAAAATCATTTTAGACTTGACACTTAATATGAGTTTGTGGTCCAAGGGGATTTATTTCTTCTGCCACCCTCTCATTTTGGTTGAACTCTTATTATCTATTATGAATTCAGTTATCTTAAGAGAGATGTGGAAAAATATAATGGCATTTGAAAGATTAGGATGGAATAGCATCCTTTTTTTTATAAAAAGAACAAAACTATAAATTATATGCTGGTCACTAAGTTATAATGTAGACTCATAGACTTTAAGGCCAGGGGGGACCATCATGATCATTCAGTCTGACCTGCATGCTGCAGGCCACAGAACTTCACCCACCCACACCTGTAATAGATTCATAACCTGTGGCTGAGTTACTGAAGTCCTCAAATCATGATTTAAAGACTGTTACATAGAACCCACCATTTGCTCTAGTTTAAACCTGCAAGTGACCTGTGCCCCATGCTGCAGAGGAAGGTGAAAAACCCCAGGGTCTCTGCCAATCTGACCTGGGGGGAAATTCCTTCCTGACCCCAAATAGTGGCAAGACCCACCATCCAGACACCTGGGATAGAATTCTCTATTGTAACTCAGAGCCTTCCCCATCTAGTGTCCCATCTCTGGCCTTCAGGAATATTTGCTACTGGCAGTTGCAGATGGGTTACATGCTATTGTAGGCAGTCTCATCATACCATCCCCTCCATAAACTTATCAAGCTCAGTCTTGAAGCCAGTTAGGTTTTTTGCCCCTACTGCTCCCCGTGGAAGGCTGTTCCAGAACTTCACTCCTGTGATGGTTAGAAATCCTGTCTAATTTCAAGCCTAAACTTGATGATTGCCAGTTTGTATCCATTTGTTCTTGTGCCCACATTGGCCGTTAAATAACTCTTCTCCTCCCTAGTATTTATCCCCCGATTGTATTTATAGAGAGCAATCATATCGCCCCTCAGCCTTCTTTTGGTTAGGTCAACTAAGTCGAGCTCCCTGAGTCTCATCTTATATTGGCAGTACCTCCCAACTTTTGTCGTCTGCAAATTTTATTATCACGTTCCCACTTTTTGCGCCAAAGTCATTAATGAAAATGTTAAATAAGATTAATCCCAAAACCAATCCCTGAGGAATTCCACTAGTAACCTCTCTCAGCCTGACAATTCACCTTTCAGTATGACCCATGCTAGTCTCCCTTTTAACCAGTTCCTTATCCACCTTTCAGTTCTCATATTAATCCCCATTTTATTTAATTTAACTAATTTCCCATGTGGAACTGTATCAAATGTTTTACTGAAATCCAGGTAGATTAGATCTACTGCATTTCCTTTGTCTAAAAAATCAGTTATCTTCTCAAAAAAAGAGATCAGTTTGGTCTGGCACGATCTACCTTTTGTAAAATCATGTTGTATTTTCTCCCAATTACTGTTTATCTCTATGTCCTTTTCTTTCTCTTTCAAAATTTGATCTAAGACCTTGCATACAACTGAGGTCAAACTAACAGGCCTGTAGTTTCCCAGATCACTGTTTTTCCCTTTCTTAAAAATAGGTAATATATTACCCATTCTCCATTTGTAGGGTATGACTCCTGAGTTTACAGATTCATTAAAAATCCTTGCAATAGGGCTTGCAATTTCATGTGCCAGTTCCTTTAATATTCTTGGATGGAGATTATCTGGGCCCTCTGATTTGGTTTCATTAAACTGTTTGAGTTTGACTTCTACCTCGGATGTGATAAGTTCTTCTTCCAAATCAACATTTCTATTAGCCACTCTGCCACAACCTCTAAACTCCTCATTATCCTTATTAAAAACTGAGGCAAAGTGTTCGTTTAGGTGTTGAACCATGCCTAGATTATCTTTAATCTCCACCCCATCCTCAGTGTTTAGCAGTCCCACTTCTTTCCTTGTTTTCTTTTTATTTATACGGCTTTAGAGCCTTACTATTGGTTTTAATTTCCTTTGTAAGGTCTAACTCTGCTAGGCTTTTGGCAGTTCTCACTTTATCCATATACTTTCTGACCTCCAAAAGGTAGCTTTCCTTTCTGATCCATCCTATCTTCCATTCCATATTAGCTTTTGGCTTTCTGCTTTCTCTTAGTAACCTGTTTGAGATGCTTGCTCATCCAGTTTGGTCTTCCCTATGAATTTTTTTCCCTTGCTTGGATGTAGACTTCTGATAGCTTCTGAAACCTTGACTTAAAGTAATTCCAAGCCTCCTCCACATTCACGTCCATGAGTTCTTCAGTTCAGTCCACTTCCCTAACTAATTCCCTTAATTTTTGAAGTTTGCCCTTTTGAAATCAAGGACCCTAGTTGTAGATCTGTTTTTGTTTATCTTTCCATTTAGTTTCAACTGAATTAGCTCATGATCGCTCGAACCAAGGTTGTCCCTTACAACCAGTTCTTCTATGAGATCCTCATTATTCACCAATACTAAATCTAAAATGGTATCACCTCTTGTTTGTTTGGTGACTATTTGGTGGAGAAATCTGTCAGCTGTCGCATCCAGGAGAATCTGGACCCTACCATTATTATAGCACTTGTTCTCCAGTCTATATCTGGGAAATTAAAGTCTCCCATAATCACACAATTCCCAGTAATATTTATTTCATTAGAAATATTAACGATGTCTCTATCCATATCCACATCAGATTCTGAGAGGTCCATAGCATACCCCAAGCACTAACCCAGAGGAACCTCTGATAACCTTTTTCCCCGAAGTGCTTTTGACCCAAATAGATTCTATTTTATCCATTCCATCACTTTTAATTTCTTTACAGTCTACCTCATGATTAATATACAGGTTTTAGTTCACCACCTTTATTTCTGTGGATGGAGGCTTTTTTTAAAGTGAAATACATGCTACTCCTGCAAAAAAAACAAGAGCTTAAAGCTTATCTATTTCAAACAGTGTGTCAGTCTGATTTGAACAAAAAGTCTCATCCCATTCAGGTGTCCTCAGCCATAGTTAACAGTGAATCTCAGTAGGTAGAGAACTGCTGGTACAGTTGCATTACCAATCTATAAATGATTTAGGACATGCAGCTGATGGCCAAATGTTTAATAATGTGTAATTTTTCTAACTTCTGTAAAATATAGAATGGGAAAATTGTAAAGGGATGTAAAAATGGAAACAACTATATTTTACTCCAATAAATGTTTGGAAAGAAAGTGTTCCTTTTAAGAATCTTGGGCTGAGAGCATTTTGTCAAATAATAAACCCCACCCCACATGATCTACTAACTGCTTTCTGCTTCTTAGGTGAAGAAGGTAACCGGGGGGCAAGGCATAAAGAGGCAACAACCTCTTTCCTATCAGCCTGCTGGACAAGCCACCTTTGCAATTAAACAGGGGCAACTCACTTTCTTTGTCAAGCTGGACAAAGGTCCCCACCACTTAATATGCAGTGAGGGCAAGGTGGCTCAGTCCTGCTAATTGCATTTCTAAATGCAAGTGGGCAAACAAAACAAAGGCTGAACAGAAAGATGAATCTCACGCTGCATTTATTTATCTTATTAAAGAAAGGATGTAAAGATGTTTGCCTATTCTGTAATCATCTAGGACATTTTTTCTACTAGGTTGATTTTGCAAATCGTTTTGTTGGAGGTGGCGTCACTGGTGCAGGACTGGTACAAGAAGAAATTCGTTTTTTAATCAATCCAGAGCTGATAGTATCTCGGCTCATCACTGAAGTCCTGGACCACAATGAATGTCTTATAATCACAGGTTAGTCTTTGTTAACTCTGTGCAGAAAGTTTCAAATACTTATCTTCCTATTATATATGGAATTAGTGTGGTGCCAAGAGATTTCAATTGACATCTCCAACATCATAGAAGCTGAAGCATTGTCAACAGTCATATACATACCCTGATTTATTCATGTCATTTTTCTTTTAGATCACAAATTTTAAAAGCATCCTGTGTACCTATCTCCTAGTCTTCACACTCACTGCAATGCTGTTTGTTGATATTTCTCTTTGTAGACAGTTCTCAAATGAGTAATTATTGTGATAAGAGATTAATTGCCTAATTATGTTCCAGTGTGAGTTTATGCTAAAAATCGCACTGACTTCAAATAACTCAGGAACAGGCTTTATAGTAAAAGACAACCTCTTTTGAGTCTAATGGTCTGATTGTAAATTCCTCTTAGGGTCTGCTGCAACTTGGCTATAATACCTACATTACTACTCAGTCTACATAATGTCTCAGTTTACTGTGGGTTTCTTGAACTAAAATTCTAAAATTTGATATTGAAGTTAGTAGTTATGAAGTTTATTGGAGATGTCTACACTGCACAGTTATGTACAGAATATTCACTATGCTCACAAAGTTCCATCTTAGTAAATCAGTGAGCCCAGTGTAAAACTTGAAATGGCTTCTTTTGGAGGTAGTCTCTATTTTTGGTTGTTAGTATTGTGGTCAAGAATAGAGTGGCTCTTATCAGGATGGTTCCATTATTAGCATATCTAGGAGATCCATAGGATTCAACATATGAGTCAACAGTGTGCCCTTGTTGCCAAGAAGGCTAACGGCATTTTGGGCTGTATAAGTAGGAGCATTGCCAGGAGATTGAAGGATGTGATCATTCCCCTCTATTCGGCATTGGTGAGGCCTCATCTGGAGTACTGTGTCCAGTTTTGGGCCCCACACTACAAGAAGGATATGGAAAAATTGGAAAGAGTCCAGCGGAGGGCAACAAAAATGATTAGGGGGCTGGAGCACATAATTTATGAGGAGAGGCTGAGGGAACTGGGATTATTTAGTCTGCAGAAGAGAAGAATGAGGGGGGATTTGATAGCTGCTTTCAACTACCTGAAAGGGGGTTCCAAAGAGGATTGATCTAGACTGTTCTCAGTGGTAGCAGATGACAGAACAAGAAGTAATGGTCTCAAGTTGCAGTGGGGGAGGTTTAGGTTGGATATTAGGAAAAACGTTTTCACTAGGAGGGTGGTGAAGCACTGGAATGGGTTACCTAGGGAGGTGGTGGAATCTCCTTCCTTAGAGATTTTTAAGGTCAGGCTTGACAAAGCCCTGGCTGAGATGATTTAGTTGGGGATTGGTCCTGCTTTGAGCAGGAGGTGGACTAGATCGGGGTTCTCAAACTGGGGGGTAGGACCCCTCAGGGGGTCGCCAGGGTATGACATGGGGGGGTCGCAAGCTGTCAGCCTCCACCCCAAACCCCACTTTGCATCGAGCATTTGTAATGCTTTTAAATATATAAAAAAGTGTTTTTCATTTATAAGCGGGGTCGCGCTCAGAGGCTAGCTCAGAGGGGGGTCACCAGTACAAAAGTTTGAGAACCACTGGACTAGATGACCTCTTGAGGTCCCTGGCAACCCTGGTATTCTATGATTAACTGATATGCAGATTAACAACTTGTGTGTTTTGCATATTAAGCCTTTATATTTTTAGTGAAATTGTGACATTCATCCTGAAGGAGTCCAAAGCACTTCACTGTCTTTAAAAGCACTCCTCACTTCATCTGTCGTTTGAAGTGCTGCTACATCTGGGCTGGAAAATTACAGCTGTTTTAATGTTTGCAGAGTTGTTTTAATAGCACACAGAAATGTATGCAACAATTTAGGAAAGGACTTTAAGAGTTAACTGTTTTTCTGGATTAAATATACCTGTGAAGAACACAATATGAATACATAAATAGATCTAAAACTATACAGGAATATAGTTTCCCAAATTTGTATTGGCCAAGATATCAGGGATAAAAGGAGAATATTTATACTTAAGTTATTAATTTAGGATCTCAGTTCTTACTGAAGTCTGTTGAACAGCTCCCATTGACTTCACAGGGAGGTGGACCAGGCCTTAGACATGGACTAAATATAATGCAGCTTTTATTATTACTGGTAGGAGAGACTAAACTATCTATAGCCTGCAATATTTTTCCCTACTACTATTTCTTTTTCTATGGCCTAATCTCAAATTTCTTCATCTGTCACTGTATGAGACAAAGAGCAGTGGAAACAAAATGAACTAATAGTTTGCAATGTTTTTAATTTTTTTTAAATTTGAATGTGGATTTGAAAATATTTCACTTAGGTTTATATTTCAAGTTGAAGTTTAAAAATGGTACCATAGTGCATGTGTTTTTAAAAAAACACATTATGCATTTCCAGAGAAAAAGGCCAGTATACATCATAGAATATTTTTGTGAATGAGCTACTAAAAAGTGGCCAACAGCAGGCCTACAAAAGAAATAAAACTCATTTATTACACATAGGTCTCTGGAGACTCCTAAACAGTCTCCATGGCTATTTTTAAGATTTAACTAAAGAGCACTGCAAAGAAGAGTCAGTGAGTAAAAGCCACAATCAGTCACCATTAGCAAATACTTCTATTTTGTCAAAAAACAGTTTTCCAATTCCTTCCTGGAATCAGCTACATTTAACCTGATTAAAGTGGGAGATTGAAAACTCAGTCTGAAGAAAGAAATTGGCTTATAGTCACCACAAAAAGAAAAAAATCAATCAACACAAAGAGCAAGACAAGGCAATCCAAGAAGTCCCTCTCAGACTGTTGATTTTGCAAGTTATTTAGACAGAATATGCTCAGGGTCTGCACAGTGCCTGGAATATGTTGTTTTGAGGCTGTTTACAGAAATGTGCAATCTCTTACACCTTCTAGAATTTGGAGTTTACTGTTACTCATGTTAATACAGTTTCTAGCACCAAACCAGGATGGATTAAATCAGGTTTCTGAGCTCCAAAGAGTTGAAGGAAGGCTGAGCTGGGGCTTTGAGTTATGTAGGGGTTCCCGCAATAATGATGTGCTCAACTGATGGCTTGGGTGATCTGCATCATTGAAAAGGTAGACTGACAGCTCAGGAGTAGAAGATGAGTCTGTCGGGGATCTGGGGATGGGGAAGGAAGGAAGAATCTCTTTTGGGCAGAGAAGAAATCAAAGTTGGTGTGAGAGGTCTACAGTTTAATGGAATCCAGCTTCCCTTTAATTTTAATTCAGACCAGAGGTGATACATTTTTTTTATCAGTTTATAATACATCTAAACACATATTTGATAAAACCCTCTGAAAGAATAATTAATGAAAGAAGGTACTCATACAAAAGATAGTTTAGTACAATATCCATTTTTCAGGTTCTGTTGTACTCTGAAGCTTTGTTTTGTTACTCATTTTAAATTTGATTATCTTGTATATAGTTGTGTCAGTAGGCAAATATCTTCAGGAATATAGTTCATGTGCCATAACACGTTTGCTGTAAGGTGATATGAGTTTCAGATTCTCAGTCAAATGCCCTGTGTTAGGCACTAACAAGATTAAAGCACTAAATTACTTCCCCTCCAGAAAGGGTTAGCTCTTCCAGGTTAAGGTTACTAAAAGAGATTGTAAAGAATGAGTCCTCCCAAGAGAAGTCTACAGTAAACAAAATGTTGGGGCAGCTAGCCATTCACCTTCAAAAATGCAAGCATTTGTTGCTAGGGTCAAACAAGCGTGACTTTTTCATTCAGCCAGTATTCTCCCAATTTTTTTTTCAATCCACTTTACTTTATTATAGTGCCTTCTAATTAATATCTGTGATGTTCTGCTCCCTTAATGGAAATGGCCATTTCATCATCCTCATTTGATCCCTGGCTTTCTTCCATCTTGGTTCTTAGGCAAGTCTGCACTGTATGCCACTATCTTCCTGATAAATTACATTTTTTTTATGATGCATCTTGACGCAGTGGCCTAATGGATGTAACTGTGCTACTCAAATTTGCAGAAGAGTCTGAGAAATTGGAAAGAAATTAAATTTGTTCTGATTGTGCAACATCTGGTTGAGATCATCACTGTAATGAATATGAAATTGGTCATGCAAACGAAGTAGTTCTTCAACAGACAGAGAATTGTCTGCCTACAGAAATGTTAGAGGGAATGCTAGAGATTCCCGTGAGATATTTCTACTATGTTTTCTTGTTTAGCTTATATACCACGATTGCCGCTAACAGACCATGGTTTCTACTCAGATTGTGAACAAGTCTTGATACTCTGAATTCAGCCTCTTTACCATGTGAGACCAAATATGTTCAACCAAAGTAAAAACAGGCTGCTTATTCTGCTGCTTTACTGGTTACGAGTGGTACTAACCTTCTTCCCTCAGAGGGTATGATGTTCTATCCTCTTCCATTCAGACACTATGGGGAAAAAAGGTGGGGCAATGCCCTTTTCCTCCTCCTCTATAGCTCAGTGATTTAATTTACATGGCTAGATCTTAAGAATAGTAAGATCCTGAGTCCTTATGTTGTTTCTAGTAACCTACACAGTTCTTTTTAGAGGCTCTAGCATATGGCAAGCAGAGTTTTCCTCGACTTCTGTAATTCATAGAAGTGCTAAAGAAATTTCTTTGCTACTGTATTGTATCTGGTTTTTTTCTCCTTTTATAAGCACCACCTTCATCTTATTTTGTAGCTTGTCCTCTGAATCTTGGCACTCTGCCTACATGTTTTGTTTCTTTCTGTGCTCTCATTTTCTTGGTTGTTTTCTGCTTTGTAAATGGCAAATTAGCCTCCTGCATTTCTCTGCTTGTTGTTTTCCCTAGTGTTCTGCAGTGTGCTATTGTGTATACTTTCATTTGAATTCAGATGTTGGAAACGCTAATCAATTAACCCAAAAAATAGGGCAGAAGATAAAGTAGCCTCTGAAATTCTCCAGAAATGTTTGCAGATCCGATTCTTTTTCCAACCTCAGCTTGGAAGCCTGAGAGTCACAGGCGAG